CAAAAATATTTTTTTTAATATTCTTTAAATGCCCCATTTAATCCTAGAAAATCGTTTTACTTTATTTTTTATTATCTGCCCCTTTATCTTAAAGTCCAAAACTAATAATCGATGTTGGGTACATAAATTTTCACTCGGAATAACTTTACAATCTTTGCAATCTAAACGATTTAATTTTCTAATAAGAAAATAGTCAATCTGGGTTGTATTATATCCATTTTTATAAGTGATGAGATGCTCATTCCTTTTCTTAAATAAGGTATTAGCAATTGAAAAATCATAAGCTAAACAAATATCCAATATGGTCTTGCCACCTTCATTCGTCGTTCCAAATCCATGGCCACCATGAATGCTTTTAAAATCATCTACCTCTCTACCAACATGTCCATTTATATCTTCTCCAATAAAAACTCTTTCTTCTAGAGGTATATTCTGTAATAATTCTTCTAAGTTATTCCAAAATTTTAATTTAGAACTCATATCCAAACCTACTTGAGGAGCATAAGCACTTATAATATTAACAATCTTATCCTCAACAACAATCTTTAAAGATATAATTCTATCACCAATCTTATTAATTTTTATAACATTATCCTTTAAACTCTTATCTATAATAACACCTACACCATTTCTAGTACGACTCCTACCCGAATACCAAAGTTTAAATCCTAAACTATCGATTTCCTTGGCCTTCTCTCCAACCCACTTAGTTTCCTGAATGCATAAAATATTTAACTTCCTATGAATCATAATATCTATTAATTCAATTAATTTTCCTCTAAGGGAACCTATATTCCAAGTTCCTATCCTAATTTTAGTTTCATGGACTAGCTTCTTTGCCCACATCCGTCCTTGATGTGGGAACCCTTGCCTATTTAACACTGCACCCGGGCGCCGGTGCAGCGGCCCTTGCACACTTGTCACTGTATTCAGGCCATACAGCGCGTCGCTTCCAGGGGACGCCCTAGCATTAACACAAAAAAATAGGAATAATAAAAAATAGAAAAAAAATAATTATTAAATATATGTTTCATAATTAATTCAAATTTTCATTAAGGAACAATAATTAGCATTCGACTTGCTACACAAAAAAAATATTTTCTCTATTTATATCAGCACAAGTAAAGTTGAATTCTGCCTACTAAATATCAAAATAATGTCAATAAAGCTCCAACACACTTTCCTATCTTATCTAATCTAGATATGACATGAAACAACTATATAGACATTCATAAGATAGATGGACTAACATGTTTTATAATAAATCTCAATGAGCTCAAAGACATTATATACATCACATTAGTACAAAATCTTTGATGCTAATAAGAAATACCATCGAAGCAAATAAACAAGATGCATTAAAATCTTATGTTCTAATAAAACAACATAAAGTGACAAATAATGCTAAAAATACCCTTCATGTTAATTTGGTATGCTAACTTCTTTTGGATTAAAATATTTGCTTTAAGAAAAGGGCTCTTTAGAACAAGCAAAATATATTAAGCATATAGCCAAATTAAAAATAAAAATATATGCCCAACAAAATGAACACCTACTTTTTTAAAGTACCTTGAAAAATGAGTTTAAACAATAATATTGGATGCTTGTCCAATTATGGAAGAAACTTATACTTCGCTTGAGGTATAGACTCAATGCATTCATGGCATTTAAAAATAAAAAAAGCATAAGCTTCTTAAACTTTAAAAGCTTCAAACTTAAGTGAAAAGTGTGAGCTTCAAAGGTCAAAGAAAAAGCTCCAATCGCATTAACATTCAAGCTCATTGCTTCAAATTATTTTAGAAGAGCTTCAATTGGATGAAAAAAAATAAGCATTAGAGTGATTGTTCTTAAAAAAAACCCCACCCATTAAAAAGCGTCAGCTAAAGTTGCAAGAAACTTATGTATTTATGGCATCTTGTTTGCACGAATCGGTATAAGTATTGTTGTAGTATCTCTAAACATTCCTAAAAAATTCTTGAGACTAGGTGGCTACCTTCCATAGACTTCTTCTATCAAATAATATTAGCAATTACATAACATAAGGAAATACATGATAAAAAATATAAATAACATCTAAACATAGCTATGAGGACACAAACCTAATCAACAATGAAATAAGCATACACATATGGCTGAAACTAATGAAAAGAGTAGAGCAAGAGAACAACATCAATTTTTCAAATAATGAAGAAATATTTTTAGATAAGCAAATATGCTAAACACCATTTACTAAAAGATTTTTTACCTCTAATCCAAACAAGTAAAAAGTGTGAAAATCCATAACATTATATGCTATGAGTGCGTCTTAATAAAAATCTGGTAGCAAAATCCATTGCAAGAACATACCTTCTTATGAGCAACAAAATCACCATATTGTAAAGCAAATGTATCACAGCTTTTCTCATATAGGTCCATCAACATCATCAAATAAAGGAGAACCCAAAACAATAATTGGAACATCAATAAACCCCAAAAGATGCAGCTGCTGGCAAAGGAAAGCTAAACCATAGGCAAAGTGGGTTACATTTTTTGGGTTGAGACAATCAATACAATTTGAACGAAGTAGACCATTTTGAAGCATAGATTTTTTTTTCCAAAAAACATGTTTATTCCACAATGCTTTCTTCTAATGTCTCTCTCGTAGAGAAAGTAGATTTCCCCTCGTTAACTTTCTAGCACCGATCTTCAATGATGATAGAAACACAATCTTTTCTATAATTATTTATTGATCGATAGCAACCATCTCCACTCTTGTGACGCATGATATCCAAGACCAAGACTTCATTAGAACATTAAATTCATTGTCCTTAATCTCGCAAAGCTTAAAATGTGAAGTAGACTAAAAATATTTATATTTTTCTCCTCAATAAATGATGCTTTTATTATCTTCACAAAGCTGACAAAAACCTCAAAGATATGCCAGAGTAGTCACTAGTCATGCCAGCTCTATCACTTTCTAGTATGCAAAACTTTATACTGTAAAATGCAGCAAAATATGTGTTCATACATCACAAAGAATTATTAGGTAAACATAGATAAGTGTAGAGCTTTCAACACCCCATCTTTAGATATATCATTGCAAAATTGTGTTGTGCTTAAACAGTTCAAGCACGCATAAATATATGCTCCAAAGAATAAGAGATTGCTTTTCTTGTTCACAATGGCATCTGCAAAAAATCATGAAATTACCAAATATTCCTATAATATCAATTATAATTAAAAAAACAACTTTTCTTGAAAAGTAATTTGCAACGTTCAGCAACTTGAGGTGTCCAGGCAAAGATATGCAAAAAAAAAATTATTATCATATGCAATTGTAGAACAGGATGGATTACGCATTATGAAATAAATTGAGGAATTCTAAAATAAAAAAGCATAAAACAACTATCAACAAAAAGTGTTAAATAATTACCCATAGCCTTGAGAGATTAAATTTGATGTTCTAATAAGTCTTACAGCCATCAAAGATCCCAAAGAAGTTTGATGCAAAAGATGTTCCTCATAGCATGATATGCTGGGAAGCATCTAGAAATTAGAAAAATTTTACAAACAAAGTAATTATTTAAATGCAAAGAATTAAGAAATCAAGAAGAATTAATGCATGTGTATAAAATTCTTGTATAATTATTTAGTATTTTATTTTCTTGGATAGTAAGCAGTATGTTATTTATGTCGTGCTAACATGAATTAAGGTCGTTGTATGAGAAAGGGAAAACAGCAAGATCTTCTAAATATAGAGAAACAACTTATAAAAATAAAGTCAAGCTAAATGCATAAGAAAATACATATCAGCTTAATCAAATCAGTTTGCACTAAAATGTATCCTAGATAAGCAGAATTTTGGGAGAAAACCCCAAACCTAGGCCCGGTCCACCTTGATTTCTCACCGCAGCCACACTATGGTTTCTAGTGTGATTTGAGTGTGCGTTAACCCTTCGGCTTCGAGACCTTCGGCAAGCACTGAGAGAGTTTGGGAGAAAACCATAACCCAAGGCCCCACCCACCTTCGATTTCTCACCGCAGCCACACCATCGTTTGTGACGTGATTTGAGCGCAGAGAGAAAGAGCGAGACGCTTCTTTGATTCCTTGGCCTTCCGCCTAAACCCTTCGGCTTTGAGACCTTCGATGATGACACAGAGAGTTTGAGAGAAAACCCCAACCCTAGGCCCCACCCACCTTCGATTCCTCACCGCAGCCACACCATCGTTTCCGCCATGATTTGAGCGGAGAGAGAAAGACCGAGTCGCTTCTTTGATTACTTGGCATGGCCTAAACCCTTCGGCTTCAAGAAGAAAGGAAAGAAAGAGAGTCTCGTTCGTCTCAGTCGTCTCCAGTCGCACACTCTTAAATTAGTTTGTCTTTTCTGCTCCGTCGTTTGACCTAAATGCCCTTATAGCCGTTACTTACATCTAATAATATTCGAATATGCTGAAAAAATAAAAATTATTTTTTACATTTCCCAAAAAAAAAAATACACTGTACATTTTAAATAAGTGAACTATTAATTAGATAAATAATAAATAATATGAATACATATTTAGAATTCTAAATTAAAAAAGAAATTTTTATTTAATTATTGAATTCAATATTATATGTGTAATAATATAAAGAGTTTGGATTAACACCATTAAATATAAATAAGAAAGATATTAATTTTCATAATTATTTTAATGGATTATTTATAACTATTTAATTAATTCTCCTTTGATAATATTCTTTGATTTTGCTATAGAAATAATATAAGAAGAAAAAGAACTTATGAGAGAAATTTGAGATAAATTTAAGAGAGTTACTAAAAAATTAAGGTCTCGTCTAAAAATTAATGATATTACAATAAATGTATAAATATTACATCATATGTTATAATCATTAATAAATCTAAATTAATTATGAAATATAATATATAATATATATATATATATATATATAGATCAATAAAGTTTTTAAAGCTTTATAAATGAATCTGATGTTAAGACATTTGTAGCATTTGTGCTTTGCTTGAATAAAATTTAAAAAATTGAATTGAACCAATCTAATTTGGCTTGTCATGTTCGATAGTTAAAATATTAGTTCAATTTTTTTGTTCTAATTTTGAATTTCTTTGATTTAATATTTTTAGTTCCTTTTTTTTTTAATTCCAAACTCAATCTATAAACCCTTATTGACATCCTACTAAATAGAATAAAATAAAAACCACACAAAATATGTCATGATTAACAATGAACAAATTATTTAAACAAAGTAAACCTAAAAATTTAAATATCAGTGGAGATAATTTACAAACATTTATATTTGACCAAATTTTAACATTCAAGTTTATTTTATGGCATTTATTATTAAAAAATTCTTCAAAAATTTTATGTAAATTTATTTTCTCCCTAAGCCTTCTTTATGTGTTTTTATATTGTTAAAGAACCAACATCAAAAATTGAAATTAATTTTAGTTTTATCCCTATGAATTATTTCAGTTGAACTTTCCATAAATAGTTGACTCTTCTTATTCAATTTATTTATTATTGATATGTCATCTAAAATCGGCTTGATCGGGCATGAATCTCGATGCATATCTTAATTGAAACTTTCAAAATTAAATATAGGATCATATAAACTTAAATTTCAGCAAACTTATAATCAAACTGAACATCTTGATGAGGCAAACCTGGCGTCACCAAAATTTCTCCAAATCAAGCCCAAATGGGCTCAAATTGATGACTTCATACATATTTGAAAGCTTTAGAATATTAATCGGGTGATCAAATGATATCCAAATATGACATGCTTATAGTCGAATCAAGCGACTCGATGAGACGAATCTAATGAGCCCAAAAATTCTTAATTTTGACCTCATTAAGGCACTTAAAGATTTGACAAATGCTCTATGATTGAGGAAATCAATATTAGTCTGATGGAGCACTTCGAATTTTCTCCGGATCTTCACCATATTTACGGAGCATGCAACTCTGAAAATTGACAAATAGACCCCGTCTCCCTACATAAAAGGGACCTTTGGGGGCATGGACCTTAGGCTAGAGTTCAAGAGAGCTCTAAGGCATGAATCTTAGAACGTCATTGTTGGCAAACCCTCTCTACTTGGTCACCGCCACCAAACTTTCAAAAGAAGATCGTCGACGAACGTCCAACTAGATGCCACCATCAGACCTTAGCTAGTTTGTTGTCGCTGGAACTTTCCCCTATCATCTCCACCGAACCTCGATCCAGCCTCCACCATCAGGTCTCCACTCTAACCTTTCTCTACTACTAACTATGGTCCACAGACCACCATCACCCAAATATAGTTCCTCTAACCTCCATCGTCTGTTGAATGCAGTTTCTTCAACCTTTTTTACCCATCGACTATGGTCCCTCCAACTTCTTTCATATGACAGCAATCCATTTGACCTTAGTAGCCAAACTACAGTCTTCCCAACCTCCATCATTCAACTTGGGAGATGTTCCTGGAGCTAGAGCAATTCTCCAGGAAGCATATGCTTCCGTTCAAAATTCTTAGGAGATATGATTGGGTGTGTTTATCTGTGTTTGTCATCAACTTTGATCCAAACATGTTTTATTAAGAAACTTTGAACTCAAATTAAATCTTTTGAAAGTTGGATTGAGCTAATTCAAACAAAATATAATTATATTCTGATCAAAATATATATATAATTATGTTAATGCTGAAAATTTTGTAATTGGTCGATTTAATTTTTCTGTTTGAGCTCAAACTAGGGATTTATTTTTTATGTTTGAGGTAAATAAAATATTATTTTATTAAGCCCAAACTGAAGACATACGCACAAATACATTTCAATCCAAACTAACGGCATCAAAAGGATCAACTGAAAATCTATTTGTGCAAACAAGATCATTGAATTTGATCCAAACATTTTTTTATGAAGCCCAAACTAAAACAACTTTGAACTAAAATTAAATATGGTGAAAGTTGAATTGTACTAATCCAAACAAAATATAATTATATAAAATTAGTGAATATTATCTAATTTATGTTGGTGTTGGAATTGATATAAAATTGGTGAATATTTATACCAAGAAATTAATGGTGATTATTAGATTTCCTTTAAATAGATGATGCCATAAACTGAGGACATTGTAGCTTTGTTGGAAAAGGAAAATTTGAAACTAAAAAAGGTGCATTTGTAGGAAAGCAGAGGCACAATGTAATAAGATTTTTGACTTCTCTAGCTTTATGTTGAAATAAGTTGAAAACACACTAGAATAGAATATTCCTTTGGAGGGTTCAAATACTCTCCAATTACTTTGATAATATTTTGAAAGGAGCAGTGAAGCAATCCCAACAATTCAATAAACTTTAGACTGCTAGATAAAATCCATAAAATCGGAGTGCTTTTCAAGCAAATTGATGTTTGCTTTGTTTCGTCGTTCCACATCATACTCATCTTTGGTGGTTCTCGGTTTGTCGAGAATTATGCATATGAAGTGTTTGTAATCATTGTTTCACTATGCCTACATGCATGATGTGGTACATATTCTTCGCAGAATCTATTGGTTCTAAGAAAATGTGAACCATTGATTAGTTGTATATTCGGGTTTGTACCACTGCTTTACTTAATTTAGTCAATTAGTTAATCTGTTGGGTAGAAAATTTCACTCTTGAAGTAAATTTAAATCCTATTTGCTGAAGATATTATGTAATTTATGTTGGTGTTGGAATTGACATGAAATTAGTGAATATTTATTCCAGGAAATGCTTAAAAGGGTTTTTAGTGGTGATTAAGGTAGAGTCAACTTCCATCTTTTAGAATTCATTAATTATTTTGAACTTGTTAAAAATGGTGATGGAATTGGAAACTAATGGCCATGGGAGCTTCTTAAATGATTCTGTCATATTTACTTTCCAGTAGATAATGTGGATCTCAAGTACAAAATATTTTTGAAATACTTGAGGTAGGATGGGAAATCATATATATTCTAGAAATGGAGGTTGGTGATAATGGCTTACCTATATTTGTGAAACGAAAGATAGATTATCAAATTTCCTTGAAATAGATGATGCCATAAGCTCATGACATTGCAGCTTTGTTGGAAAAGGAAAATTTGAAAAAATAAAGGCGCATTTGTAGGAAAATAGTGGCACAATCTAGTGAGAATGATTATTGACTTATCTGGCTTCCTGTTGAAAGAAGTTGGAATAGAACATTCCTTTGGAGGGTTCAAATACTTGTTAATTACTTTGATAATATTTCGAGAGCCCATTTACATACTTCTTACTACTGAAATTAACCCTCTATAAGGTCTGCTTTTCCTCTACATCATTTCGTTGTTGTCTTTTCCTCTTCTCTATTTCTATGTCTTTGTTCGAATTCACCTACTTTGCTCGCTTCAAATGTAACAATTCCTTTCGTCTTTTAAAAGTTTCTTTGTGAAATTAGGTGTGTCTGGGGATTGCTTTTCTCTTCTTCATTTCTTATAGGCATCTTTCCCGTTTGCAATTGACTTAACAATAACAAGAAATGAAATGTAGAAGAAAAAAAAACTGAGATAATTGACTTAATATTTTCTTTTTCAATATTTAAAAAATTTGTATTTTTTTTATTTCACTGTGTTATTTTTATTATTTCCTATTTGCAAATGACTGAATAATAAGAAGAAAGGAAATGTAGAAGAAAAACACAGACAAATGATAGGATGTTTTCTGTTTAGCTATAATTGTAAAATATGTATCTTTGTTATTTCAATTTGTTATTTTTATTAATGTATTGATATTTCTCTTTTGTATTTTTGCTAGCTAACATCCTTTGGTGTAGCAGCCCATATCCATTGCCTCCAATGCTCGACTTTGTCTTGCTCACTTATCCCAACAGTTTGTCGAAATTCCTCTTGCCCAACCCATCACTCAAGGTAAATTTATTAGGATAAACAATTTATCATTTGCCAAATCATATAAGTAATTGCTATTTATGTATTAAACGTTATCATTTCATCAAGTTGGATTATATCTTTGAATAAGCCAAACTGTGTTTGGACAAGGGATGAGCAAATGAGAAACAATCTTGTTCTCTATTACATATGATGTGAATTATGCTGCATTGTTTCTATTAATTTTGCTCATCAAGCTCTAATCTTCTATGAAGTTGCTTCTTCGTGAGGTCTTCTTGGTGTTCGGTGCTATTCCCTAAAGCTTTCTTTTTTATAATGTACCTTGAGATATATTAATTTGTGGTTTGCTTTAGGAAGATTTTGTTTGAATTATCCTCATGTTATCATTTTATCAAGCTAGATTAAATCTTCGAATAAGCCAAACTGTGTTTGGAGCGGGATGAGCAAATGAGAAACAATTTTATTT